TCCAAAGACTGGGCGGTTGAATATTCTGATTGTGAGATGCGAGGCCAGAGGTTCAGCTGGCGGGCGGCGTAGAGGACCGCACAAGGCCGCAGATGGGCCGCACGGGCATGGATCATGGACATGCGAGCTATCTCTATGACCAAGCCTATGCAGCACTCAGCAACACCATTCTGCTGTGGGGACTTTGGAAGTGTCCAAAACTGTGTGATGCCCTGTTTGCCGCAGAATCCGAGAAGCACGTCGAAGTGAAACTCACCCCCATGGTCGGAGTGGAGACAAAGGACACGACTACCACGAGTGCCCTCAGTGGCCAAGAGCCACCAGATCAGCATATAAGTCACATCGGACTTCTTTGCTAGAGGAAACACCATGGTGTACATGGAGTAGTCGTCAACGTCCACCAAAAAGTAGCGCTCCTGCTCGGGCCAAAGTCGAAGGGCTGGGCCCCAGACGTCCAAGTGGAGGGTTTGGAAGGGAGCTGTGGCTGGATGAAGAGACGAGGAGTTGGAGTGACGCGCAGCCGACCCTCGACGCAAGGAATGCACGACGTAGCAGGAGAGGGAGGGAGCGACGCAAAGACGTGTTGGAGACTCGAGACAAGACGATGACTAGCCATGCTGCGGAGGCGGGGGAGGGACGGGTGACCAAATCTGTGGTGCCACAAGACCGCCGGCTGGATGAGGGACTGACAAGAGCAAGACACAGCAAATAGATCGGACACATCAACCTGACAGAACACAAAAACGTGATCGCATATTGCAACCTGTGGGGACACAACTACCCTGGAGCGCCCAGTGTGCAGAACGTAGAGACTAGAGTGGGGCTCCCTGGTGAACGTGGCACGGAGTGCACCGGTGGTAGTGTCCGTACAAATCGCAGTCCTCCCATGCACGTGGGAAGGACACGGGAGGGGATTATAGGGCATGAGAGGGTGGTAGAACTGTGTGCAACTACTGGTCCTGAAGTAGGATCAGCCAAAGCTACTGGAACAGGAGGAAGGAGTGGTGTGAGAGTCGAGTGGTCCCGGAAGAAGCACTATGACGCGCCAGAGTCCAGTGTGAAAGAGAGTGACCCGTCAGCCGTAGGAGCACATGGGCTGGTAGCTACTCAAGCACTTAGTGCAGCTAACACAAGAACCTAGACCAGAAAGAAAAATATATACACTAGCAACATGCAAGGATCCTAGTCTAGGAACACGCAAACAAACAGATCCATCAGCACTAGAGTGAACTTCAGCATACATGGCATACTGACGAGCCTCATCCACGGACTGATCCAAGACACGAACCTTACGGGCTTGCAATTGTGCTCAACTTGGGGTACATCCCGCATGACCGTGGCGTGCACGTTAGAGGTCGTCGAGGCGGCAGAAGCAACGCGCTGCAGAGTGGTCACCGTGCCTGCAGACCTATGGACTACCCGGTCGTGTTAGGATCCAGTAGTCGCAGGGGCCGGAGTTGTGCCTGGGGGGGCGGCGGCCCCAGCTGGCAGAGCTACTGCTGTGGCCAATGCTCCCCGTTCCTCCAGTCCCCCACTGTTGCGGGGGGGGGGGGGGGGGGGGGGGGGGGGCATTGCTACTGCGGACCCAATTACTGCGGGGGTACCCAGTGCGGAACCTGTTGTGCCACCTACCACTGCTGTTGTCCTTGCGATGGCTGCTGCGGCTGTGACTGCTGCTACTGGGCTCCCTCACCACCACCGCTAGAGGCAACACCTCCAGTTGGTGGATCCGCCGATACAATACCTCCTCTAGGGCCTCCTCCTCCAGGCGCACTAGTACCGCCACCACCGCCACCACTACTGCTCCCAGCTTCACCTCTTCCACTATATCGCCGCCACCACCCGTCCCCCCTTTCTTGCCACCCTTGCCCCATTTCTGCCAACCAATAGCACAAATAGCTGCATTCTCCTCGGAGACAGACACCGCAGCAGTGGCACAAATACCAGTGAACGTGGGAAGCTGAAGGGCAGCACGTGTCATAATGTGATGTTTGTGTAGCCTGCAGTGGGGTACCCTATAGCGAGTTCAGCCCAAATTAGGGTTTGCTATATGTACTCAACTGTATGCTAGTGAAAAAAAATATCTTTCCTGTTTCTGATTCTTGCCTAGCCTTTCAACATGGTACCAGAGCAGGTCAACCCTCCTGGGTCGATCCTGTGGGTGGGCCCCATCCGATGCTTCCGCTCCTCTACTGCCTGTAGCGCGCCCCGGGCGCGTGCTGTTTCCTGTCTGCCGCGCGCTCCGGGCGCGCAGCGATGTTTTCTGCCCCGTCGAACCGCGCATCGCCCCCTATCAACCGTCGCGTCGCCCCCCGTTGCCCGACGCAGCCCGCACGACCTGCGCCAGGCCCGCTCGCGGCCCGTACGGGCTGTGCCAGGCCCGCGCGCGACCCATACGGGCTGCGCCAGGCCCGCGCGCGGTCCGTACAGCCCGCGTGCGGTTCGTCCCGAGCTTCTGACCACGCCCCGCCCCCGCTGCTGCCCGTGCTCCTGTGTTAGGGTTTAGGGGTGGGGAGTATGGGGGTGCCGGGTGTGTGAGCCATCCCCTGCTCCTCCTCCTCCTCCTCCTCCTCCGTCTCCCACTGCTGCAGCTGCCGCTGAGGGGGGTGGATGTGTTGGAGCCGTCGGAGTGGTACAAGGGGGGTGGCGTGTGAGCAGTGCTAGAGGTGCAGCAGGGAGTGTGTGAAAGGGGTGTGGGACAGTTGGGGGAGGTTGACCGGAGGTAGCCGACTTGTCGTCCGCAGCGCCTGAAGTCCAGAGAGCCACGACCCCCTGTAGCCTGAGTATTCCGGGGCTCTGCGCCCGGTAGCCGCAGTGTGAGCACTCCTGGTAGTCCAGAGAGCCACGGCCCCCTGTGGCCTGAGTAGTCCGGGGCTCTGCGCCCGGTAGCCACAGTGTGTGCACTCCTGGGAGCATAGTGAGCCATCTGCATTTGTCGCCGTGTAGTCCGGGTTTAGCCTGGTAGCGACAGTGCTGCGCACTCCTGCTGTCTGTGTGTCTGCAGCTTCAGCCGTCGCCTCCCATCTTCTCGCCCTCACAGTTTCTCCTCCTCCTCACTTGCCCTTTGTGACTGCCTCTAGCTTTGCTTATAATTGTGAACTACTGCTCTGCCTGCTTGTTGTATTGATTGTACCCCACTTTGACTATGGGGGTGTGTCAGAATGTGATGTTTGTGTAGCCTGCAGTGGGGTACTCTATAGCGAGTACAACTCGAATTAGGGTTTGCTATATGTACTCAACTGCATGCTAGTGAAAAAAAAATCTCTTTCCTGTTTCTGATACTTGCCTAGCCTTTCAACAGCACGCCCCTCAATGTGTCGGGGAGCTACTACGTTAGTGGTAGAGGCGACAGAGAGGAGGTTACTTTAGAACTTTCCGAGAGTGGTTTACTAGTAGATCGATCGTAAGCTCACTGGTTGCTTCTGAAAAAGCGCGTCATAGGTAGAGGAGATGCGGTCAGGGAGACGAGTGACTAACCAGTGAATGGTGAGTCACATAGGAGAGGGGGAAAAGAGAAGCTGAGCCTCAGTGTAGACCGTACAGTAGCTAGTAACAAGGGAACGCATGTGTATGGCAAGGTCGAAGACAGTCGCACAAATCAAAGTCCGCAAGCACAAACGGCATGAGGAGGCGGCTAAGGGAGGCAGAGGAAGGGGTGGAATAACGTGCAACAACTGCGGAGATAACTCGTTCAATGGGAGCTAGAATACGGGTTAGGCACTGGTGCTCGTGTGATCTTTGCGTTCGTTCCTTACTCGTTCTCTAACACTTGTGCGTTCACAGGGCAAATCTGCAAGAGTTTCACTAGCAAAAGTTGAGAACAATGGTTCAAAATGATAGCAACAAAGTCGACATGCAAGGCTACATCAGACCTAGCAGAGCTGCTGGTCGACTTCCAGCGCACCACGGTTGACCGCGTGCCAGCACGACTTGGCCAACCGCGCTCCAGCAGAGCAATGTCGCGGTTTTCCAACATTGCAAGTCCACGGTGTGCCAACGCTGCAGCAAGTCGGCTGCACAGCATTGCACCCGTAGGACAACGAAGCACCTGCTTCGCAGGTGCGCGCAGCTGGTTGGTATGGCACTCCTCGTCACGAGCACATAGCAGACGCCCAAGTCGACTCCACGCTAGCGACTGCGCCCACCAGCCACGTCGACCTCGGGATACCTTTTCCGAGGTCGTCCTCGCGGAACCACCCCGGCGACCTTCACGCCTGTCGCCCGGGTATCCCGGTTGACCAGGCAACCACGCCTAGTCGGCCAGTACCTCTTTCACGGGTCCGTCGACCACCCAAGTCGACGACCACTTCCTGACGACCTCACCAGGTTGACCTCTCCCCTGGTCGGCCAGCTCCAGGTCGACGACACTTCTGGTCGACCAGCTAAACGCCAACCAGTACACCAGTTAGCCGATCACACTCAGTCGGTTACCCGAAGTCGGCATCACCAAGTCGACGCCCTGCTACTCGACGCCCAGTTACTCGGCGTCCTGAGTCTCCCCTGTCAAGGTCGACATCGGCCCGTCCTTCGTCGACCCTCTGGTCAGGTTGACCACTCGGTCGACCACCCCAAAGTTAGCGCCCTGAAGTCGGCGCCAGTGCAGTGGCCCCCGCGCAGGTCCACCACCTCGTCGACCAGCTCGCCCACTATTGCAGGTCGGCTGTGCTCCCCCGTACACCCGACCACGAGGTCAACTCTGCCCAAGCGAGAAGGGGCCTAACACAACTCTCGTTGACACTCCCCTGCCGCGTTCACGCTTGGGACCCCAGCCCACACGACAACACTGCTCGAAGAGAAGCTCAGAAGGGTGCGCACGACAGACATCACGCCGATCACCGCACCAGCCATGCAAAAGGGATAGGCACCTACTGCTGAACGTCGACGTCGCTGTCACCCACGTAGGCCAGGCGCACCTGACCGATTGCGATGGAGCACCGATTGAAGGTCCGATAGTGCGGCGCCTTTGTCAGGAAGTCGGCTGGCTGCTCAACTGTCGGGATCTACTTCACCGAGAACTTCCCGCGCTTCACCATGTGCTGCAGCCAGGCCTGCCACCATTCCATATGCTTGAGGTTGCCCGTCAACCCCATGCCCTCGGCGACCGTGATGGCCGACTTGTTGTCTACTCGGAGGACAGTCGGCTTCCCGTCATCCAGCTGCCGTAACTTTGCAAGGAGGAAGCGAAGGTAGCGTCCCTCCTTGCCGGCTTCGGTGTCCGCGACATACTCCCACTCAGTCGACAACAGGGTCACGCACTTGATGTGCTGGCTCGACCAAGAGACTGCGGCCAATCCGTGGACGAACACATAGCCGCCCGTGCTCATCCTCTTCTGCTTGTCACCGGCGTCGTCGGCGTCCACGTAGCTGACCAGCTCCAGCGACTCTGGTCCACCGCCGAACTCCAGGGCGGTGTCGCGGGTGTTGGCGAGGTAGGTGAGGCAGCGGTCGACCTCACGCCAGTGCTGGTCGCTCCTCACCGTGAGGCCGCTTCCCAGCTTGCTGCAGGCAAAGGCGATGTTTGGCCTTGTCGTCGTCACTGCAAACTGCAGCGAGCCGACCTTCTGCTGGTACTCCTCCTGTCGCTCCTGTGCCACCTCGTCGTCGAAGGTGAGCTCGGCATGGGCGTCAACCAAGACTGGCGTCTTCGGGGTGCGCCCGGTCTGCTCCTCGTCGATGAAGCGCCTATGCGGCTTGTCGGCATAGCCCTGCTGGTGTAGCCACATCTGCCCCGCAGTCCCGTCGCGAACGATCTCCAGCCGAAGGTACTTCTGCACCAGTGAGTTCTTGCACAGCTTGAAGGCGGCCTCTAGCAGCTCGTTCAACTTCTCGAAGTTGCTGTTGGCGGCGAGCAGGTCGTCGACGTAGACCAGCACCTAGCAGGCCATTCCGTTGTGTCCGACCTTGAAGTACAGAACCTCGTAGACCTGACTCTTCTTCCACCCAGCGCCTACCAGCACGTCGTTGAGAGCCTGGTACCACAAAAGCGGCGACTGCTTCAGCCCGTAGAGGCTCTTTAGCAGCTTACACACCCGGCCGGTCCCGTCGTCGAAGTAGTCCGGCTGGTACATGTACAGCACCCGGTCGAGCTTGCTCTGCAGGAAGCATTCTTCATGTCGAGCTGCATCAGATTGAGGTTGAGGACGGTGAAGATGCTGAGGAAGATCCTCAGCGTGACGTAGCTGCTCACCAGCGCGTACGTCTTGTTGTAATCTGCGCCATATACCTGGGTGAAGCCCTTCACGACCAGCCTCGCCTTCACGCTCTCGACGGTGTCGTCGATGTGGTACTTCGTCGTCAGCACCCACCGGTTTTTCATGGTATTCACTCCCAGAGGGCGTTCAGCCAGCTCCCACGTCCCCATGTTGATGAGGCTGCGGGCGTTCCCTCTTCCATGGCGGCCTTCACTGCCTTGCCCTTTCAGCTCGCCAATGCCTCCTTCACCGTCATCGTCGAGATGTCCCAACGGTGCTCGAGGTCGGCATGAATGTCAGGGTCGAGCTCCGGAAAGTCCTCATCCTCCTTGGCGTCGTCGTATGGCAGGTCATCGTCGCCCACGTCGTACACCGTGGTGAAGGCAGCGGGGACGAAGAAGTCGGGTGGCCTCCGGATTCGGCCTGACTGCCGTGGTCCATTCTGGACCTCAACCACGTCACCGTCGGTGGACTCCTCGGCGTCCCCTCCTTCGTCAACGACTTTGCTGCCCTCAGCGTCCTGCTGCACCACGGTCAGCGTCCCAGCCGACTTCTCCCCTGTGGTCGGCTCCTCTGCCAACTGCCTGGTTGCCGACTGATCCGTGGTCGGCTTCACCTCCACGGCCTGCTCCTCCCCTATCAACGTCGAATTCACTCTCACGTTGTCTTGCTGCTCGTCACGTCGGCCACCGGCAATGCTCTTGGCCGGCGGCGAAGGCGACGTCCCACTTCTCCCCTCATCGTTGGAGGCCGACACCGGAGTCAGCTCGCTCACGTCGGCCACTAGGGGAGGGGCAAGGGTTGCAGTGGGAGGGGAAGGAGGACGGACGATCTCGGCGTCCTCATCAGCAAGCTCACCGACCTCGGCGAGCAAAGGCAGTGTCGCCGTCGAAGTGTCCGTCGACGGGTGGACCGGTGTCCTCCCCGACGCCAGCCCATGCTCCGACTTCCACACCTCAAGCGACGTGCTCTCGTAGAACACCACGTCTGACGTGGTGACCACCAGGTTGTCGGCGATGTCGAGGAGTTCCCAGTCCTTGCTTTCCTCCGACACACCGAGGTGAAGGCCCCACCTGGCATTCGGCTTCAGCTTCCCACCACGCTGCTCCTCGGGGACCAAGAACTACCACACCCGTACTAGCAACAAGTCGGGCTTCTTCTCGGTCAGCAGCTGGTACGGTGTAGTCCCCAGCGGCACCGTCGACTTCTCCAGGAAGTTGCGGACCCAGACAGCGTGCCGCAGAGCGAGGTGCCACCAGTGGTGCTGCACGCCCATGTGCAGCAGCATTGTCCGTATCGACTCTACCATCGTCCTCATCTCCCGCTCCGCCATGCCATTCAGTTGCGAGGTGTATGAGAAGTCAGGTCGTGGACGATCCCCTTGCCGTTCACGAAGTCGGTGAGCCGCTTCCCGAGGAACTCCCCTCCCTGGTCAGAGTGCAGCATCAACACCGACTTCTTCGTCTGTCGCTCAGCCACCGCCAGCCACTCTACGAATTCCTGCAGCGCATCCGACTTTTTGCCGACCGGCCTCACCCACACGTAGCGGGTCTTGCGGTCCTTTAGCAGCAAGAAGTACAGGCTACCGTCCTTGGCAGCCGCGCGGAATGGCCCGCACAAGTCGATGTGCACGACGGCCAGCACGTCGTCGGCATTGGAACCCTGGTCAGGGATGGTGTGCCGCGCCAGCTTCCCTCCGACACACGAGACACACGATAAGTCGGCGCCCGACGCCGACTTGAGGTCCAGCCCAATAGCGACCTCGTGCTTCGTCGAGCTCCGTATGGTGTCCATGCTGATGTGCTCAAGCCTCGCATGCAGCCTATCCGGCGTTGCCTTCGTCGTTGAAACGATCGCCTGCGGGGCCACCACCTCCGTGATGGTCGTTGTCTGCTTGGTCGAGCAGGGGCGCAAGTCAGTGCAAAGGACACGGCCGGTGTACGTCGCCCAACCGAGCATCACTCTGGCCACCGAGAGGAGCAGCATCCCGTCGCCGTCCTCCTGCAACTTCACGCCGTTCTCCTTTAGCTGGCCGGCCGAAAGCAGGTTTGGTCGCATGCCTGGGACGTAGAGCACAACGGGGATGAGCACCTGCTTCACAGCCTCCCCTTGCAGAGCGACACTGCCATGGCTCTGGATGTCCTGCAGCGCCCCATTTAAGCCGTGCATGTGCTTGACGTCGCCGCTTGGCTGCAGGTCAACGAAGACCTCATTCGTCCCAATCGGGTGGTGCAAGCAGCCGTTGTCGAGCAGGACCACCACCGGATTCGCCTGCACAGCTGCTGCCACCGCCTGCAAGTCCTCGCCAGCCTCCGGTGCTAGTGAGACGGTCGGTCGGCTCCACCACGCCGACCAGCGAGCACAGCGCCTCTTTGTCGTCTCGCCCTTTGCCGCCAGCAAAAGAGTTGGGGTCCTTCGTTGACGTCGACTTGGTTGACTGCTTCTCCTTGCACGGCTAGTTTCTACCTCGACGGTAACGACGGCTGCCAGACCTCCCGCGGCCTGCCTTGGCATCGTCCTCGTCGGAGTCACTTCGATCAGCGCACTCGAAGAATAGGTGGTCAGGGTCGCCATACAGCCAGCACTCCCGACGTCGACTTCCTCCTCCACGACCGCTTTCCTTGACCGACTTCTTCTTGTCGGCGTCCTTGGTCGGCTTCCAGCCACTGCTACCACCGCCACTAGACTGCCGCGCTGCCCCGGTCGACCACCTTGATTCGACAGGGCGACGTAGTTCGCCTGCACTAACAGCTCCTGGGACTGCTCAGCCTCCTGCATCGCCTCGTCCTGCAAGATGTACGAGGTCAAGGTGTCCTCGTTGAGCGTCGCCCGTATGCTCGGCGCCATCGACAACCGCTTTAGTAGGTTGTAGCTGCTCGAGAGTCCCTGCATGACGTGCATGACGTATGACGCCGTTGAGTACTGCGCGCCAGCCATCCTTATGGTGGCGAGAGTTCGCTGAGCGCGGTTGCAGTAGTCGGTCGCAGTCTCCTGGTCGCCCATACGCAGGCGCGTCAGCTGCCCCTCAAGCAGGGCGATGAACAAGTCGTCGGTGACCAGGTAATTTGACTCGATGAAATGCCACGCCCAGTGGCCGGCGTTGTGGTACTCTCTGCACGACTTTAGGGCGATCTGCACGCCCGGAGAGCAGCACCGCGAGATGACCGCGAAGGTCACCAACTGCACGGCGCGAAACTCCGCACGCAAGTCGGGGTCCTCCGGCGTCGCCACGGTACCGCGACCAAAGCCGATCAGCGTGGCCATCTCCAACTGGGGCTCGATGGCTTCCTTCGAGGTGAGAATTTCGAGGCGACCGACCAGCAGCGGAGTGACCAAGGTCCTGTCCGGCATAAACTTGAAGTCACCGTAGCTTTGGTGCAATCCCCCCTGAAGTCACATGAGTCGCCGACATCGGTGACAAACCGCTTCATCGACCTCCGACGTTACCTTGTGAGGAGCTTGCTGCCACCGACGACCGCACCCCTTGCACCTGAACGCCGCCGACTTCATCGGCGTGAATCACACCTTGCTGCCTCGACATGCCTACCGCACTGCTGCCGACTTGGTCACCACCGGCGTTGACGCCTACGTCGACGTCGCCCTCAGTGTTCACCGGTCGAGGAAACACATGCCGAGAAGGTTGCTCCGTCGCCCACACGGTGCGGATTCCAGCCTCGACGACCGCCCAAGGGATCGCTCCGTACTCCTAGGCCTCATGGCATCTCCTCGCATCCTCGAGCTGTGCCTCCAGGGTGCCCACCACCCCTGCGTCACCTACGGCACCTACCATAGTTACTCCGCACATCTGCCGGCCTACAATCACGAATTAGGTAAGTGATGACTACGTCGACCTGACTGAAAGGTAAGTCATTGTCAGAGGTCCACTGGTGATCCCCGATTGATCCTAGGGAAGGGTTACAGGCACGTTGGCCTGGGGGGTTATGGGCGCACTGACCCGCTACTTAACAAGCCCTTTTATCCCAATGGTCTAGTGGTTGGGATTCTGACATGGTATCAGAGCGAAGGTCTCGGGTTCGAATCCAGGTGTATGCACTTCGGGCATCCCAGTGCGGGGGGGTGTCAGAGGTCCACTGGTGATCCCCGATTGGTCCTAGGGAAGGGTTGCAGGCACGTTGGCCTGGGGGGTTATGGGCGCACGGACCCGCTACTTAACAAGCCCTTTTATCCCAATGGTCTAGTGGTTGGGATTCTGACGGTCATGTGCCGCCACGCTCACCACACCATGTGGAGATAACTCATTCAACGGAAGCTAGGCTACGGGCTAGGCACGTGTGCTTGTGTGATCTCTGCGTTCGTTCCTTAGTCGTTCTCTAACACTCGTGCGTTCACAGGGCAAAACTGCAAGAGTTTCAATGTCAAAAGTTGAGAACAATGGTTCAAAATGATAGCAACAAAGTCGGCATGCAAGGCTACATCAGACCTAGCAAAGCTGCTGGTCGACTTCCAGCGCACCACGGTCGACCGCGTGCCAGCACGACTTGGCCGGCCGCGCTCCACCAGAGCAATGTTGCGGTTTTCCAACGTTGCAAGTCCACGGTGTGCCAACGCTGCAGCAAGTCGGCTGCACAGCGTTGCACCTGCAGGACAACGAAGCACCTGCTTTGCAGGTGCGCGCAGCTGGTTGGTACGCCACTCCTCGTCACGAGCACAGCGCAGACGCCGAAGTCAACTCCACGCTAGCGACTGCACCCACTAGCCACGTCGACCTCGAGATACCACTTTCGAGGTCGTCCTCGCAGAACCACCCCGGCGACCTTCGCGCCTGTCGCCCGGGTATCCCGGCTGACCAGGCAACCACGCCTAGTTGTCAGAATGTTATGCTCTAGCCTGTAGTGGGGTGCTCTATAGCGAGTACAACCCTTCTAGGGTTTGCTATTTGTATCCTCATTCCTGCTAGTGAACCTTCTCTTTTGCCTAACTCTTTCTTGCCTAGCTAGTGCTTTCCTAGCTATGGCTCCTTCACTCTACCTACTACTTTGACATAGTATCAGAGCTAGTACGCTCCTGGCCTGTGGGCCCACCTGCTTCCGCTGCTATCCTGTCTGTCGCGCGCCCCGTGGCGTGCAACGTTTATTTTCTTCCCGCCACGTGCTCGGGGCGCATGGCGGTTTTCTGCTCACCACGCGCTCGGGGCGTGCGGCGGTTTCCTGCCCACCGTGCGCCCCGAGGCGCGCGGCGGTTTCCTGCTTCGCGCGGCGGTATTCTGTACGCCATGCGCTCGGGACGCGTGGCGGGTTTCTGCCCACCGCGTACCCTGGGCGCACGCGGCGGTTTCGCGTTCCGTCGACCCGCACGCCCGTCCCCGTCGACCTGCGTGCGGCTCCTCGTCGCCCTTCGCGGCGGCCCCGTCAACCCGCGCGCGGCTCCTTGTCGCCCTTCGTGGCGGCCCCGTCGACCTGCGCGCCGCCTCTGGCGACCGGTGTGCCCGTCCCCGTCGACCCGCGTGTCGCCCTGCGCCCCCCCCCCCCCTCCCCGCACACCTGCGTTTGCTTACCGCACACCCGATTTCGCTTCCCGCACGCTTGTGCATGCTTCGCGCACACCTGAGCTCGCTTACCGCACACTCAGGGTATGGGGGTGACGGGTATGGGGGTGGCGGGTGTGCGCGGTCCCCTGCTCCTCCTCCTCCTCCGTCTCCCGCTGCTGCAGCTGCCGCTGAGGGGGGTGGGTGTGTGGGAGACGAAGGAGTGGTGCTAGGGGGGTGATGTGGGAGTGGAGCTAGGGGTGAAGCAGGGGGTGTGTGTCAAGGGGGGTGGGACTGTTTGGGGAGACTGAGAGGAGGCTGCCATCTTGTCGTTCGCAGCACCTGTAGTCCGGAGCGCTATCCTGGTAGCCCAGAGAGCCTGCTGCGCCTGTCGCCCGTGGGTCCGTTGCTCTTGTAGCTCCTTGTAGCCTGTGAGCCAGTTACTCCAGTAGTCCGGGGCGCTGTCCCGGTAGCCACTGTGTGCGCGAAACCTGTTGCCCGTGTGTCTGCAGCTTCAGTCGTCGCCTCCTATCTCCTCTCCTCTTACAGTCTCGCCTCCTCCTCCTCACTTGCCCTATGCGATAGCCTCTAGCTTTGCTCATAATTGTGAACTTTAAACTATTGCTTCTTGAACTTGTGCTCAGAATGTGTGGTGACATTGTGATCCACCCTGAGCTTATTCTGCTTTGCTTGCTCTGCTGATTACACCCCACTTTGGCTATGGGGGTGTGTCAGAATGTTATGCTCTAGCCTGTAGTGGGGTGCTCTATAGCGAGTACAACCCTTCTAGGGTTTGCTATTTGTATCCTCATTCCTGCTAGTGAACCTTCTCTTTTGCCTAACTCTTTCTTGCCTAGCTAGTGCTTTCCTAGCTGTGGCTCCTTCACTCTACCTACTACTTTGACACTAGTCGGCAAGTACCTCCTTCACGTGTCCGTCGACCACCCAAGTCGACGGCCACTTCCTGACGACCTCACCAGGTCGACCTCTCCCCTGGTCGACCAGCTCTAGGTCGACGACACTTCTGGTCGACCAGCTCCACGTCGACCAGTACACCAGTTAGTCGATCACACCCAGTCGGCTACCTGAAGTCGGCGTCACCAAGTCGACGCCCTGCTACTCGACGGCCATCTACTCGGCGTCCTGGGTCTCCCCTGTCGAGGTCGATGCCAGCCCCTCCTTCGTCAACCACGAGGTCAGGTTGACCACTTGGTGAGGTCGACCACCCCAAAGTCGGTGCCCTGAAGTCGGCGCCAGTGCAGTGGCCCCCGCGCAGGTCCACCACCTTGTCGACCAGCTCGCCCACTGCTGCAGGTCGGCTGTACTGCCCCGTACACCCGACCACGAGGTCGACTCTGCCCAAGCGAGGACGGGGCCTAACACAACTCCCGTTGACAACAATAGCATCATAACGACCCTTCGCGGTCTAGACATGTGAGAAGTGGACGCCCTTAGTCAATGGGAGAAGGTCCGTTAGTGCGAGAGCAACCGCGGTGTCACGAGAGTCCCAACCGTCACGCGCCAAGAACCGCCGGTCGTACTCTGCCTGCGCCTCGGGAGTGGGAGTGGGCTTAGCAGGAGGGGGGCTGGGGTGCTGAGGGGCCTGGACGGTGCCGGATGTCAAGCTATAATTGTTATAGCTTATTTGTGTTAGTCTAGGTGTACTTCATGTTTTCCTAGGGTTAGGGTTATGCTTGCTATATCTTGCTTGTTTTGACTTTCCTTAGACAACACTTATACTTTTGTAACTTGATATGGTATAGAGTGATAAAAAGATCCCATGGGCCCACCGCCCCGTAACGTGCCCTAGCTCGAAGCGCCCTAGCCCGAAGCGCCCTAGCCCGAAGCGCCTTAGCCCGTAGCGCTCCGTCAATCCGTGTCTCGTAGTGCCCCGTACCCCGCGCGCCACCCGTTTTCCCATCGCCTCACCCGTCAGATCCGTCGCGTCCTTACTCTCCCCCCCCCCCCCCCACCGGTCGCGACCTGCCCGTTTTCCCCCGTCCCGCCCTACCTTTTCCCCCCGTCGCGCTGCCCTTACATCCGCTCGCGTAGTCGCACGCACCCGTACAAACGATCGCGCGCGCAGCTGCGTGCGACTGCACACACAGCAGCACGCGCAACTGCTCACCCGTCCGCTCGCACAGCAGCCCGTGCGGCCTGCGCGCCGCGCCACCTGCAACCCGTCCCACAGCCTTCCCCGTAGCTCGATGCCCCACCCGTCCCCACTGCCTTAGCAAGCTGCCACAGCCAGAATAGCCGCCCCTTCCCAGTTCTGCCGCCCCACCCTTAACAGGCCGCCCCTACTAGTTGTGCCGCCCTCACCCGTTCCCACTGCCTCACCTGAAGCCCGCCGCCCTAGCCATATCTGCAACCTCACCCGTTCCAGTCACCTCACCCAGTACCCTCCCCTGCACAAAACTGCACAGAACCATGCAGAATCGCACAGAACCGCACGGAACCGTGCAGAATCGCGCAGAACCGCACAGAACCGTACAGAACCGCACAAAACCGCCGCCTTACCTTCCCCACCCGTCGCCAGCAGCCTAGTCTATCGCCAGGAGCACCACCAGCAACTTAGACTGCCGCCAGTCACACCAGCAGCAACTTGAACTACCCCCTAGCAAAGCCAGCAACTTACACAGCCCCACCCGGTACTCCCCACTGCACAGAACCGCATAGAACCACACCCGCTGCCCCACCCGTTCCAGCCAGAGCTGCTGCCCCACCCGTTCCAGTCACCTCACCCGGAATCAACCGCCCCACCCGGTACTCTCCACCCCGCAGAACCGCACTGAACTACACATAACCGCACAGAACCGCACCCGCTGCCCCACTTGTACCAGTCAGAGCTGCTGCCCCACCCGTT